TTTTTTTTTTTTTTTTTACCAATTTTGATACCAACTGCCATCCCACAACACACACTACTTCTCTACTGGGTTCAATAATCCATTACAATGGCCACACAGAACTTAGGGACAATACTCAGAATTATGGGGTTTGTTAGGGAATTAGCAGGTTATAATCAGGTTGACTGCTAACCAGAAGGCTGGCAGTTCAAACCCACCAGCCACTCCTCGGAAGGAAGATGGGGCAATCTACTTCCGCAGTGATACTGCCTTGGAAACCCAAGGAGGGGTCACTATGAGTTGGGTCAGACTCGACAGTATATAACAACAACAATTCAGGTTCAGGAAAGCGCTCAAGATATAATTCTTCCATTAGGACAGGCTCCCCTCAGCTATGCCCTCAGGCATAACTGTCCTCGGCCCTCAGCCTCTCGACTTGCTCTCAGCCCTGCTCCAGCAGGTGTCACAAAGCTCTTTTAGTTCTGCCAATAGGTGCACCTATGTGGCCCCTCCACCTCCAGCAAAGGCACTCTGTTTTCTCACTCTGTAGGCTGCCAAGTGCACTGCTCTGTCTAGTGCTAGTCTCTCAATTTTGCTGCTGATTGCCTCTACTAAGGAGGTCCAGCACAGGAACCTCAAAGGTCCAAGGATACATTTCATTCCACCTTTAGCTCTTCTCTCTCGATGCCACTGAGATGCCCCTTTCTGCCTCTGGGATAACTCATTTTAAGCCTAGCAAAATGACAAAACTGACCGATCCCCACATTACTGTCCCATACACCTATTTCCATGGTCCCACTCCCACAAGGGTGCCATGAACCCTATTTATATTACTAACAAGCTATTCAGTCCCCTTGGAGGTCCACAAGCACCTTACATTTGCATAGTTCCACCCAGTAATCTGGCAGGAGTCACAAAGACTAAGTAAGTCACTGCGCCACAGTCCTCCGTACTTCCAAACTCTCTGCACCCCATCCCAGTATTTCTCACTGTGTGCCCTGAATTAAGAAGTTGTTGCTGTTGTTGTTGTTATGTGCCAGTGAGTAAGACCCAACTCACAGCGACCCCTGCTTGGTTTTCCAAGGCGGTGTCACTACTGAAGTAGATTGCCCAACCTTCCTTATGAGGAGTGGCTGATGGGTTTGAACCTCCAGCCTTCTGGTTAGCAGTCAAGTGCCTTAGACACTATGCTACCATTTCTTCTTTGCTTGACTGTAAGTTCCTAAAAGGGAGGGATAAAATCTTAATCACCCTTGAATTTTCTAATAGTGTTTAATGAATAACTACTTGATTTTATAATCCCCTTTCAATTTATAAGGAATTTTCATGTATTATTTCTTCTTAATTCTAAAACAAACTTGTGCGGCAAGTGGTATGATTGTTTAGAAATGAATAAACAGATTCAATGGTTTCATGCTTCTTCCTCTGGGACTCAGTTAACTCTCAATAAATGATGTTGAATGATGAACAGAAATGGCCCTAAAAGGCACCTTACAAACAGTAAAGCACCACAATGAATATATATTATCTGTATAATGAAAACAGCTATCATTTTCTGATTTAAAAAGTATTTCAACATAAAAACAGGTGGGAAATGCTGTACATGTTAAAAAAAATCACTTCAAGCAGAATAAACTTGAGATTTGCATATCATCCCTTTAAGTTAAAAAAAAAAGGTTTAGTAACACCAATGTCTTTAGAAAGCACACACAAACAAAAAATATAACGAAAATTAATAATTATCAGTGATTAACTATGAAATGTAACAATTATTAAAAAAAAAAAAAAAACAGGTAATAGTTTTAATTCCAAGCATGGCTTACCAGACTCATCTATGTCAGCATCTTCATCCCACTCCTGAAAAGCACGACTTTCATCTTTTCTGTTCTTCACCCATTCCTCATCAGGTTCAGTATCAAGTTCTGCTGCAGGACCACTATACCAGTCACCTACTCAATGAATCAACAAATAAAAGGAGCAAAATAAGGTAAGATTGGCTACCCTTACAAAAGCTAACCTGTTTAAAAAAAAAAAAAACCCTATGCAAGCAAAACAGCTGAGACCTAGGCAATGGGCCAACTCTTGTAGGAATATTCAATTGGTTAAAAAAAAAATTATACTTAAATGACAACAAATTCAATTTCAGAGATCTAAACAAACTATGAATATGTGGGCCCAATAAAAAATATTAATTCAACAGTAGGTCATTTTTCCAAAATAAAATGTATATATACTACACTTCAAAATTATACAAAAAAATTACACAGTCTGCTATGTACCTACTATGTATCTATTCTCTATTCAAAAAGCTTTAAAATGTTATCTTTTATAGATGTAAGCTTAATAGTTCTAATTCCATTTCTAAGAAAAATAACTGTATCAATAGTCTTACAAGCAACAAAACTGAAAACAACATAAGCTTTTTCTTGCTGCTGTGGCTCCACACTGACCATGGCTATACCTCCAATAGTATGACGGCTAATCAACAAAGCAAGCAGGATTTCCCCTCTGTAGCAAATCAATCAGCAATTCAGAAGTAGGTACAAAGAGAAGTTAAAGGGAAAAATTAAGGTAAAGCTAAACCATGAACCATAAAGATCCTGGAGTATATACTGCAATTAAATTATGTTTACAAAGAGACAGGCAATGAAGCATTAATTTATTGAAATCCTAACATTACATATCTATCGGAGTTTCTCAACCTTGATACTAGTGACATTTTGTGCCAGGTAATTTTTGGTGTGGGGGGTTATTTTGGGCACTGGAGGGTATTTAGCCACAACCCTGCCCTCTACTCACTAGATACCAGTAATACCACCAACACCCCCAGTTGTGACAACGAAAAATGTGTGCTGGGAAGTAAAATCAATCCTAGTTGAGAACCACTGAAAACAAGTATCGTAAATAATAAAAATAAGTAAGAGCCACTACAAGTTTTATGTGTAGTGCCTAAGGCACTTGACTGCTGACCAGTCAAATCCACCAGCCACTCTTCTGAAGAAAAGTTGAGCAATCTATTTCCGTAGTGATACTGCCTCAGAAACCCAAGGAGGGGGTCACAATGAGTCGAGTCCGACTCAACGGCACATAACAACAACATAAGTTTTATTGGGAGCTCTGGTAGCGTAGTGCCTAAGGCATTTGACTGCTAACCAGATGGCTGGCAGTTCAAACCCACTAGCCACTCCTCGGAAGGAAGACTGGGCAATCTACTTCTGCAGTGATACCGCCTCAGTAACCCAAAGAGGGGTCACTATCAATCAGATCTGACTTGATGGCAGTGAGCTTGGTTTTTGGTTTTAATAGGTTTTATAAATAAAGTTCCATTATTTTTAATGGAACTTTTTGTTTAAAAATATTAAAAAAATATTTTTAAAAGAAAGTGTATTTAAGATACGGTTAACTTCATGAAATCCAGCATAGCATTATCAAATTGACTTTTACACCAAATAGTATCTAATTATGTATTGATTCTTAATTAAAAACAAATACAGACAAACAAAAGAGCATTCTGTATATCCATATTTTCCTTATATGGCTTTCATTCAATATTGCATTATCCTACAACTAACAGGAAAAATTATGCCACATAAAAATAATAATTCTAATCATTTGGATCTTATAGTTTATACGTCTACCCAATACTCCAAACAGCTTCAGTCAAAAAACATAAACTATCCAACTGCAGCTTAGTTTAAATGATATAAATTATTGTAAAAAATAAAACAGTTTCAAAGCAGACTCATAATCGTGTATGCATAATTATGTTAGAACACATACTTCCATGTCAAAATCACAAACAGAAAACTATCAAAGAATTTAATATGTATTTTGAGGATAATGCTCACCTACAAAAATTGTTTTAATGTGCTGTATGGCTGCATTTATCCCATGACTGCATTACATACTCATGAAAAGAAAACTGTAAGTGTTCACAAAGACCACCTCACCACTAGAACTTAATAGTAAATGGAGACTTAAAAAATAAGGCATTACCATAACAAAAAGACATGTTAAAGACAAAAACAGATTCACAATTATTTTGAACTACCACCAAAAAGGAGTCATAATAGTGCTTTATATTACTTAAATTCTCAAATAATCTAATTATGTAAAGTTGTTCCTACAGTATATTCTGCTAACCAGAAGGCTGGCGGTTCAAATCTACCAGCCACTCCTCGGAAGGAAGCCTGGGTTTTATTTTTACCTTCTTGTTATGGAAAACTCCAAACAGTTGAAAGTAAAAAGAATTATCATGATAAGTCCCTATGTGCCAATTTTCAACAATTACCAACATTCTACCAATTTTTTTGCATCCCCTCCCCCAACTATTTTTTCCTAATTGTTGTAAAGGATATTACAGACACCCCGTGATTCACCATGAATACTTCTATACTGGTAAGTTTTGTAAGCTGTATCCCAAGAAAATACCATCTAACTATGAAATCTACTTTCTGGTCAAGCTCTCAAGAGTTCTTCTCTCTGGCCTTACTTCTTAGTAACAAACTGAAATATTTTTAAAAACAAACTAAAAGTGCTATTTACCTACCTCTGGCCCAATGAACAGGGTAAAGATGTTTCCATAGTGATCCCGTTTTTGCCATCTGAGACCATTTAGTGCTTACTTGACTGCATCGACACAATTCTTGAGGATTAAGATAACTGAAAATTGACAGCATTACCTCTGGAGGAAGATGGCTTATACCTGTAGAGTGTTCTGAAACATCCGTTTCTGAAATAAAAAAGAAAAACTTTAACATCAAAGGATATAAGATCAAATGCAATAAGAAATTTTGATCATATTTCTATAAATAAAACCCAGTGCCTGAAGTCAACTTCTTCCTGCTTACAAGATGTGAATAGGAAATAACATGGATTAGACGTAACATGGGGATGTTAAGCTTGTTAAGAACCCATAGGGTTAAACTATCATGGCCCAAATCACACTTCATCAGTGGGACCTACAACAATGAACACAGAATTGACTTCCTCTTACAAAGTCTCTGGAGAAAAAAAAACAATACTCACTTTGTAGCCTAAGTGGCATCATTTGAAAAAGGAATCGAACAGGTTATACAGCTTTAAATCAACAAGTGCAGAGTCTGCCAGCTCATGAGATCTCCAAGGCATTTTTAATGACACACCAATCTCACAACGTTTTCCATTCATGCATTATGACTCCTGTCAGTTCCTAGCTGGTGATTTCTCTTTGATTTTCACATTTCACCTCAGAGATCTGTGAAATCGGACCTCTTCAACCTGTTAGCGCCCCACCTGAGAATGCCAATACTGCTTAAACTGTGTATGTGCCAGTTAAGACAACATAATATAAACATTTCTGAAGCTGATATACATTCACCAAGAAGCCCTCGTGGCACAGTGATTAAGTGCTTGGCTGTTAACCAAAAGGTCCTCAGTTTGAACCTACCAGCCTATCCATGAGAGAAAAGAACTGGCGATCTGATCCTGTGAAGATTACAGGCTAGAAAACCCTATAGGGCAGTTCCATTCTGTCCTATAGGGTTGTAGGAGCTGGAATCGACTTGCCAGAATACCAACACCACGACCATCACAAGACATTTATCAGAAATCTTCTGTCAGCAACTACTGTAGAAAGTAGTCATTAAATATACAATTTCTTATAATGTATTATTTGGGGAGTAATTTTACAAAAAGAAAAATATAAATGAAGTGTTATAAAAAATATAAACGCTTCATCATTAAAGTACTGTGAGGATATACTTCGTAGGTCTGACTTGTCTCCACAAAGCAACCCAAATATGGAAATGCTATGATCAAACCCACTCCTTTTTAAATGGCAAATATTTTAAACAAATATAGCTATAATTTGCTTTGAAAGAATGGTAAAATTAAACATAGTAACTATGATGCTTTTCAGTTGCATATTATAATTATAATTAAGCCAGATAGAACAGGTCATAGCTTGGTGTCTAAGGTACAAGCCACATTTCAGAGTGAGGCATACAAATTTTATGGGTTTAATTATAGCTTAATTTACAAAACCATCTTTGTTTCAACACACATCTGACCTAAATACTTTGTTAAAGAAATTAAGAGGAAAGAACCAATTTTTTAAAGAAAACTCTAAACTATTTTAACAGAAATACCATTGTTTATCTTCCATCAGAAAGAGAAGATTTTTTACTAGCCTAAGCATACAAATGGTTTCTTTAAGGATGTTTTAAAAGGCTGCCAAAGCTATCAAAGAGAGTAAGAATAAAAACGAGGAAGGAGTCTGTTAAGAAAAAAAGTAGGCACCGTTTATTTGCATTTCTCCTTCATTTTATCAAGGTAACTCTACACAGACAAACCATGCCATTCCTACTCACTTCCTTACATATTACTGAATTTAAGCTGAAAGGTAAGCACGTATGGGAAAGAACTGGGATAAAACAGTAAGCATTAATGTTTTCTAATGTATTTCTTATCATAATAAAACTGAAAATTGTAAGCATAACCAATGTTGAAAACTAAATGAAAAAAAACAAGGAAAGATGGAGCTCACAATACTGGATGATACTGCAGAGGCACTATATATATGGCAGTTTTCAGTAATTCTGATTGGCTAAACTAACGTTAATAGTAATAACAGTACCAGTAAAAATAGTACCTATATAAATTCATTCAAGAAACATTATACTGCACATGGTCCAATTATGCTGCTGTTGCTGTGTGCCCTGAGTCGATTCCAACTCCTAACAACCCTATACGACAAAATACAACTGCCCCATAGGGTTCCCTAGGCTGTAATCTTTACAGCATCCAATCGACAGGTCTTTTCTCCCATGGAGAGCCTGGTAAGTTCAAACTGTTGCCCTTCTGGTTAACAGCCAAGCACTTAACCAATGCACCACCAGGCTTCCTTGGCCCAAGAGATGTTAAATTGTTTTTTAAACTGAAAAACCAAACCCACTGTCATCTAGCTGATTTTGACTCAGTGACCCTACAGGACAGGGAAGAACTTCCCCAAAGGGTTTCCAAGGCTGTAAATCTTTACCTAAGAAGATTCTCTCATCTTTCTCCTGCAGAGTTGCTGGTGAGTTTAAACAGTAACTCAAGTGCTTTAACTACTGCATCACCAGGGCTTCTTTAAATTATCAAAAGCAATACTAAATCCTAAAATAGAAACTACTGTCAATTACATTTATACTAGAAAATAAGTGGTTTCTGCTCCCACAGTACTAGCCTGAATTAAAATATTCCTCCATATAAAAGCTACAGTTCCTATCAATGACATGCAAAGAGCCTACGAAATGACTATAGGCAATAAACTGTACACTATCTAAACATCTGAGTCTCACCTTTATCTGACTTTTCATCCTCAGCATATTTAAAAAACTTCTGTCGCTCTTCAGCTTGATTCCACAGACTAAGACCTCTGAGCAGCTCTGCAGTATCCTTGTGCGAGCAATGCTGTGCAATCACTTTCTTTTTAATATCCTTAAGCTCTTCATAAGTAAAATATTCCATCAGCATAGGCTGGAAAACCTAAGTTACACAAAACATTCATAAGAAAGGTCCTTAATTAGTAGTGTTTGCATCCCTTAAATTGTTAATTGCTCAAGTCCAATACTATGACCATATATTCCAAAGAAATAAAAATGTTAGTTATTACCACTGAGTTAGTTTATCTAAAAACTGTAGCAAAGACTATCACCGAAAAAGGTCCTTCCCTCCAAGGTTTCCTCAGCTAATAAATCAAGCCCTAAACAATGTAGATGAATCAGGAGCAGATGAGTTTTCTTGCCAACTGCCAGACACTCTTAAATCATTTTCTGATTGTTGAACATGGAGGCCAATTAAATGCCTCCTGGTACTAGAGTAACTGAACTCTACCCAAACATGGCCTCTACATCAATTAAGGATGGAACCATAAAAGTTAGGGCTCTACTGAGAGCCTGAACTATCCATTATTATTTCTGGATTTTGAAGATGTTTCCTCAAATCATTATTCCAGGAAGGTGGTTCATGACAATTATCTATAGAGAGGTCTTTTTCCTGCAAAATAGATTACTTAGCCCCAACCTCCAATTTACGTAATCAGAATCTTTAGAGGTAGTACCAAGGCATTTTTTTGTTGGTTTTTTTTTTTTTAATTTCACAGACAAATTTTGATGTGCATCAAAGGCTGTGAAACACTCTTGCTCTACTAAGTCACTGGTTTCAACCCTGACTGAATATTACAATGATTTGGGGAGCTTTTAAAAAACACCCCCATGTTGATGTCTCCCCGCCTGATTTAACTGGTCTGGAGAGGGCTTAGAAGTAGGCTGTTGTTTGTTTTGATTTTTAAAGACCAGCCAGCTTATGATGTCATAATTGAGAATCACTACATTAACTGATTTAGAACTGACCAACCACCCACTTCCTCATGAAATTCTTTTTCTATTCCTTACGGATATCCCTCTCCCACTGAGTGATAAAGAAGAGAATGGGACAATGTTTTCCTCACATATTCAGTGATATCCTAATACAATGTGTACCAGACATAAGACTGGTAACTTTAAACATAAACCAAAAACTCACTGCCATCAAGTTGATTCTAACTCATATCTACTCTACAGGATACGGGAGAATTGCCCTCAGAGGGTTTCCGAAGCTATGTATCTTTATGGAAGCAGATGGCCTCATCTTTCTTCCCAGGAGCAGCAAGTGGGTATAAACTGCCAGCCTTCTGGTTAGCAGCCAAGTACTTAACCACTGTACCACTAGGGCTCCCTGGTCATTTTAAAACCCCTAGCTAATTACTAAAATCTGCTACTGCAGAAAAGAAAACATAAATTCTGTACATTTACCATGAAAATATGTAATATATTAAAAAGTTTAAAGAACCTTCTAAAAATTCTCAACACACAATGTTGTTGTTGTTGATAGGTGCCGTCGAGTCGTTTCCCACTCATAGCGACCCCACGCACAGCAGAATGAAACACTGTCCAATCCCATGCCAGCTCCACGATCCCTGCTATACTTGAGCCCATCATCGCAACCACTGTGTCAATCCATCTCGTTGAAGGCCTCCCTCTCTTTCATCGACCCTCCACCCTACCAAGCATGACATCCTTCTCCAAGGAATTGTCCCTTCTGACAACATGACCAAAATAGGTGAGTCGAAGTCTGGCCACTCTTGCTTCCAAGGAGCATTTCGGGTACACTTCCTCCAGGACAGATCTGTTAGTTCTTTCAGCACTCCACGGTACTTTCACCATTCTTCGCCAGCACCACAACTCAAAAGCATCAACTCTTCTTCGATCTTATTCACTGTCCAGCTCTCACATGCATATGAGGCAATTGGAAATATCATAGCTTCTGTCAGGCGCACCTCAGTCCTCAAGGAGACATCCTTGCTCCTCAGCACTTGAAACAGTTCGTTCGCGGTTGACTTACCCAGTGCTACACGTCGTCTATTGTCCTGACTGCTGCTTCCATTGGCATTGATTGTAGAAAAAAGCAATGTGAATTCTTTGACAACCTCAATCTTCTCTCCATTTATTGTGATGATGCTCATTGGTCCAGTTGTGAGGATTTTTGTTCACTTTATATTGAGACGTAGTCCATACTGCAGACTGTATTCTTCAACCTACATCAGTAAGTGCCTCAAGTCATCCTCACTTTCAGCAAGCAAAGTTGTATCGTCCACGTATCTCAGTCTGTTAATGATTCTTCCTCCAATCCTGATGCCACGTTTTTCTTCAGATAGTCCAGCTTCTCGGATTATTTGCTCAGCATACAGATTGAATAAGTATTGGGAAAGGATACAACCCTGACTCACTCCCTTGCTGATTTTAAACCATGCAGTGTCCCCTTGTTCCATTCGAATGACAGGTCAAGGTACAGATTCCTCATGAGTACAATCAAGTGCTTGGGAATTCCCATTCTTCTCAATGTTATCCATAATTTGTCATGATCCACACAATCAAATGCCTTTGCATAGTCAATAAAACACAAGTA